TCTTCAAATTAAAAATATAATATTTACAAACATGATACATATGAATAAAATAATTGGTTGGCATAGGCAAGCACCAGACACGAGAAAAAGCTAATCTTAACCAAAGCTTTGAATTTTGGCCCTGATTACCAACGTGTTTGTGTGTGGACATGCACACGTGAGTACACTCATTGTGAAGAAAAAATTCACTGACTGTTGGCAAACTCCATCTCACTTGTGGCTTCAAACACTACTAAACCTGTTTTTTTAAGCCATAAGATACTGTTTCCCACTTCTGGTAGAAAATGTATGTACTGTATCGTTATGCTCCTGAACTTAGGACAAGTGAAAAGTCCCATTTTGTGAGCTCCATTTCCAGCACTGTATATTTCCTTATGCATTTGATGAAAGGGAACAGTTAAACAAAGGCTTTGTGGTAGCTGATATTGCCATGTTTCAAAAACAGACTGGAGTGACAATCTGCCTCCTGTGTTTCCCTTGGTCTGAGGAGGAAGTAGATGGAAATACTGTAATTACAGCCACCAGCCAGTCCCACCCCTGGGCAGAGGGTGAGGGTGCTTCTCAGTCACTGCAGAAACTCCTTCTCTGGTGTGGCATTGCCTAAAAGTGTGTTGCCCAGGGCTTTAAAAGCCATGGCATGATTTAATCTCACTGTTTGAGTGTTTTATTCAAAATGAAATATGGGAAGGCAGCACACAATCTTGTTTTGATGTGTTAAACTTATATATAAGTTACTATTGTGATGAAAACCATACTACTTTGGTATCCTTACTTTGACATGCTTACATTCCTAGACTTGCTGTTGTCAGAGGTAATGGAGGTTTCTAACTGTCTGAAGCAATGCAGAAAGTTTAGTGCTAAAAGAGTTTTGAGGTTTAAAATCTCTCAGTTGAAGTGACAGGGTTTGTGAGCTTAAGCCCTAATGACTTGACAAGGAGTATTTGTGAGCCCTGTAGCTGTTAATTGGAACAACCATCAGCTCCTCGGGGGAAACCAATCCTCAGGATGAAGAGGCCAGCAAAACCGAGCTGTGTTTTGTGTAGATCATTTGCCTTTGTCCCACAGTGGCAAATAAGTCAAGCCCTGTGCAGACACATCAGAATACAGCTGGAACAGTCAGCTGAGGTCAAGCCGGGCTTAGTAGGTCTGGGTCAGTGTGAGGCACGACCTGCTGGGTTTGGGCAGCACAGTGCTAAACCCTGCACTGACACTGAAGCCTGAGGTCTCCCCGTGGGCTGGTGCTGAGTTCAGAGCTGCTCACCCTCCCCCAGCCAAGCCTCTCTTGTCCCAGGAAGGCACCTTTATCGGGAAGGTGGCTTTCCCAGGCTGAAACTCATCACTTGCAGTTCGGGTGTGCTGACCCCTGTGATTTCCACAGATGCAAAGCTAATGAATATAGCTGTAATCTGTTAATAGGTGACTCATTTCAGACCATGGCAGAAGTGTTTTATTTGTAGTGGGAAATACTGGGGCAAGGAAAAGAGTATGCCACAGATGTGGGCTAGAAGAAGATGGTAGCAGAAAGAGGAGTATAAACAGGATTAAAGGCGCATCAAAATTCCTTAAGCAACATGCTCAGGAAGTGCAGGTAATTGTGCAAAAGCAGAGAAAATTCCTAGTGACAGATAAACCTGAAAGCTCACTGCAAACAATATTTCATGTAGCCTATTCACCAGTCAGACCCACTTTCTCCCTCTCTGCTCTCTTCCATTGCCCAAAATCACTGAAATGTGCAATGTTTTGCAAGTTTATATGGAAAATCACTTTATTACTTCTACCTGAAAAGCTTCAAAGCAACAAACCTAACTTCCGATTTCTATAAAAGCCAAAGGTACTAAGACAGACAAAATGCGAATAGCATTGATTTTTGTGCAATTTTCTAAGGACAAGCAGGATACATTAGCAGTCTGGAAATGTCGTGAAAGACAGCAGTAAGCAATACTGGAGAATATTTAATTTAGTAAAGGGCAGTCTGTGTGGATCTATGCAAAAATGATCAACTGGCAGTGTAAGCCAAAGCATTTAGAGAATGAAATAGCAAGTGAAAAAAGCTAAGATATTTGCCTCTTCTAAGAAATAAAGTATATTTTTATATCTTTAAACTTCTTTCTGAAACCATTGAAATAGGCTTTTAGAGTCAGAGACTAATGTAATGTATTGAGTTGGAAGGGACCCACAAGGATCATCGGGTACAGCTCCAGGACACTCCAAGGGTCACACCCCGTGCATGAGAGCTTTGTCCAAAGGCTTCCTGAGCTCTGTCAGCCTTGGTGCTGTGACCACAGCCCTGAGCCTGTTCCACTGCCCAAACACCCTCTGAGTGAAGAAACTTTTTCTAACATCCAGCCTAAACCTCTCCTGGCTCAGCTTTGTGCTGGTTCCTCAGATCCTGTTGCTTCCACAGGAGTGAAGAGATGGCTGTCTGTCCCTCTGCTGCACTTTGTCAGGATGTTGGAGGCAGAATCCTCCAGCATTTGCTCTTGTTAAACTCCACATGGGTGATGATTAATTCGTTGAGGTCTCTCTGCAGGACCTCTCTGCTCTTGAAGGAGTCAACAGCTCCTCCCAGTCTAGGATCATCAAATTGGGAGGATCTGTCAACTCCCTTGAGGGAGACTAGACAACAAGTTAGAGCAGTGAATATGTTTATAAATAACATCCTGCAACAGTCTGCAAATAGTGACTCTATCTAAATAGAGAAGGGATTCTAGATAGGCTTAGAAATGTTAGATTTACTGGTTTGGGGAGGAAAGAGGAGAATAGAATGTAATGAGTATTAATACCAGAATTCTTTAATTTTTTTATAGCTCACTTGGAAGTGTGTATTACTTTTTAGCTAATATCTTATGGCAAAGTTGCACCAGAGAAGAGGAAATTAGGTAATCAAGTAAGAGAGAATGATCATGTGGGTATGTCCTCCTTTGAATATGTATTGTTAGAAATTTTTGTTTGTTTCTGTGGTTAATTATATGCCAGTAGATGTGAAGAAATACCATAACTTTGGTCATCATAACAAAGGAAAGACCTTGATGTCCAGACTTTCATCTTTTCAAGTATATTAAGTGTAGTAGCTACTCTTGATATATTTAGTTCATAACAAGGGAGTATCATGTGAATAAGTACAAAGAAATTACACCATATGGAGATCAATCCTGCTATTTGAGATGTGGTGGCAAGATCCTGAGTCTTACAATGTAGCACCTTGGAAATTGGTTTTCCTTTAGAGAAAAGTTGTGTGGAAAGTGAACTGATTTCACAGCTGTAGCTATTTCATAAGGAAATGGTCACAGGGGCTATAGAAGGAGATTATGCTGTAAATTATCAAGACAGAATGTTCTTGTAGAAGTACTTCTTATATAAATTTGCTGGTTTTGTATATAACCTTTATATAATATCAAGTGGACATGGAAATACTCAGGTTAGGATCATTTTCATTCTCCAGGTGGGGCACCCCAGAGGAAGGTGTCAGACTTGACACTCACCATAAAAAAAAAAACAAAAATAGGACATTAAATATATTATACACAGTCCTGTGTTTTTCATGGAACCTGTGGCAACCAGCAAACTGCATTCTTAGTCTTGCAAGTTTTACAGTTAGTTAAAACGTGCATCAAAAAGCCCAGTCCTGACACTGGAATAAAGAGGTCCAGTATCAACCTTCAGAGTTCCTGAAAATGCCAAAGATGGTCCAGTTTCTTCACATAGATGTACAGGAATGATCCTCGAGGGGTGACACATCTTGTCCAAAGTCACAGAATGCATCAGAAGTAATTTTAGGAAAAGAATTCACTGATTCACTCCCTATTCATTATTTTTAAAAAGTGTATATTGTGTAAGAAACCAATTTCAATAGTCAATATTAGAAACCAGCTTCTCTAGTCACTATTAATTCCTCAAACAAAATAATTGCCAGTGTTCTTAGAAAACTGAGAGACAAATGATTAATTCCTGCTATGGGGTGTGATGTGTGCTGGATTAACTGAAAGATTTAGTTGACTAATGGTTGGGTAAATCTGGATATACACTCTGAGATCATAACACTGCTACAAATCTGAGAATCCTCTGTATGTGTAATAATATGGAAGCTAATTTTTCTTCTTGCCCTAATGCCTCATTCATAGTTTCAGTGAACTTTGGATCCAGATTTAATGTGAAAAGTCGCTTGTAATCATGTGAAATGAAGAAATTACAATTACAATGTGAATATTTTCTTGGAAGGACTAAATGAGTGGATTATCTACTTATCCCTTATTTAATAATACCTAAATTAAATAGTCCTAAGGAAATAGAGGATTAACAAATAAGAAGTATAATACACATCAAGCAGTCTAGCTGAAGAAAGACTACATAATCTAAAATATCCTCAACTAAATCCACTGAAGCAAATTTAGCAGGGAGACTGAATTACTTTGGACATGTGCGTGCTTACAGTGGTCCATTTGGGTCAAGGCTAAAGTTCAGGAAGGATAGAGAGCGAGTCTCAGACTGCCTTTCCCTTCTTTACCTATCCAGTCCATGAGTGGAGGACTCCAGCTGTGAATGGACATAATCCTCTTAAGAGTAAAAAATCTAAATATTTGTGTAAAAACAAGCAAACAAATGTAGCACGACAGCACACAGATAGACTGGGGAGCTTCTTCCTGTTGTTTGTGCATCTCTGTGACTCATCCTGCAGTTTGCTCTCCCTGAGGTCAGCTGGAAGAACTTCTGTTGACTTCAGTGTGTGTAGGACAACAGTTCACCAATACAAATTTTTTTTCCTTTTTTATTTTATCCCAAAATCACATATTTCCAAAGAATACATTTGAAGATAGGTCTATTTTATGTGGAGCTGTATTCAAATCTCAATATTTCTGCATGAAAGTTGCAATCAATTCCTGTCTCAATAATTTTGTCTCAATCAATTTCTGTCTCCCACATTAAGGACCCAGGTTTCCATTCCTAGCTTCTTGCTGTCTTCTTTCTGCCTAAACCAAAATTTTCTCTCTGCTTTTTTCCAGGTCTGGAGTTGGTGTGACAGGTTCTAGGCAGACTTTGTTTTATGCAGAAGTAAACGACCAGATGAGAACCAGTGGAGGAGGTGGCCAGCCTGAAGAAGGAGAGCTGATTGAAGTTGTGGAAATACCTTTAGGAGAATCCATGAAGTTTGCTTATGATGAGACTTTCCCGAAGACAATGGGTGTCATCTTCAGCTTCATGTGGTTCCACAACAACATAGCACCCAAACTACCCAAAAAGTAAAGCACCATGATTTTAAGGAAAGCTTTTCTGCTGCTGCTGTGCATGCAGAAAGCTGCAAATCTGCCTGCCTCAATCAACTCAACTTCTCACAAGACAAATATTTCTTTAAATAAATTTGGAAGTAAAATCTGAATTTAAATCTTCACACAATTTCCATTATTAGCAAAACACTAACTGGCACCACTGGAGCCAAGATTTGCCTTGGAGAGGCAAATGTTGATTTTTGTGCCAAGGTTAAGTGAATGTGTCCAGTTCTCCTTTCTCACAGCACTGTTTTGAGGAGCTGCCCAAGCCCTCAGCACAGCTGCCTCAGGAGCCTCTCACCGTGTCTGTACATACTGGCAACGTGTATTCATTGTTAGTTTTGATTTTTTTTTTTAAAGAAAACAGCAAACCTTAACAGTCACAGATACCTTAAATGTTCCTGAGTTCAGCACAGCTTTCAGGGAGCAGCTCTCTCTGTGGCTCCTGTGCAGAGGAGGGGTTTGCATTTCTGAACATGCAGACCTTTATTTCATAAGCAAACAGGTCTGCAAATCCTGCTAACGTGTCACTTTGACAATGGAGCAGCTGTAAGATTATGTGCTCCTGTTTGTTCCCATCACAATGCTGGGCAGCAGTGATGGTGATGGAGGGGTGAAGGATGGGGGCTTCTGCTGGAACACATGCTTCTTTGTTTGCTTTATGGGCAATAGTTGATAAATGAGATCAAACTTTGTCCTCTAGAGCGGGACCAGAGAGGCCGAATTCTTTTAATTTGACTGTGAGGTGATTAACACAAGGGATTTCTCTGAGGTTTGATGTGGTCTCTATTTCCTTACCACCCAAATGGGAGGAATGGAACTTACCCCTTAGATAACACTTCTTGGAATCTAATGATTGGAAGTGCTTTATTGTGATTTTATCATGATTTGTGCAGTTTACATGAAAGCCTGTGCAACCTGCCCAGACGTACTGAGGAATGGCTTTTAAAATCAACGTCTTGATTTAATAATTTGATTTAATAAAGTGGTCTAATTAGAACGTATAGTACTTGTTCTATCAGTGTAGTTTGGATGTGGACTGTTTGTCATGTGAAACTGTTAAGAGCATGAATGGAACAGAATGAAGTCTGGCAATTTAATTATGCACTGGGTTATGTTATTCACTGACTTAATCAACATGCCCACATTATAAATGCCTCCAGGAGTACTGAAGTGCTAAGTGTGTTTAGAAGAGAACTGCAAATATGCAAACTTGAACTTAACAGATGAAATTAATGCAGCAGAGGTGTCTGATGGTGTCCAGTGGCTGATTTTAAATCGCTGCTTATCTCAATAGGTGTATAAATTTAAAAAAGGTTTTAGTTAAAAAAGAGCTTTTAGAATTGCTGCTTGCAGGTTCTCCTCCTGATAGGGAGGAAAGGTCCTTGGAAAGCCACTGAAGAAGGAGCAGCCTCTGCCTGTGGAGCCAGGCTATTTGTGGAAGTTCAGACACAGCTGTGTTGAGCTGGGCCTGGTCCATGGTGAGTCAAGGGCTGAGTTATTGTGAGAAGCAAATAAATTCTGTCTGTCTGATGTATTTACATTGGAAGGTGTTCCAAGGTGGGGTCTCCACTGCTCTGTCTAGTACAGTGTGTCCTGATTGCTGCTGAGGCCTTTATGAACTACTACAGTCTATAGAATAAATAATGCCTTTTATTCCAGGCTGTAGTAACCAAAGTTTCTATTTGATTCCACGAAAATTACTGGTCACACAGCAGCTTGTGTGCATACATGTCAAAAATCTTTTTTTCTGTGTAATGCAGAAATTGGGAAAAATAAAGTATTTTGCCCCTCCAAAACACTGTGACTGTGCCTCTTAATGTACCAAACCTCTCCAGGGGCAGTCCAGGCTTGCCAAAATCTGGCCTCAGGTCCTGCTGCTTCCCAGGGGTGAGGTGAGAGCTGGAGGTCACCCTGTGGTTTGAATTTGCAATATTAAATATAAACGTCTTCAACTTCTTACTATTTCCATGTTAATTTTGGTGGGAGATTTTCTAAGCAATTACAAAGGTTTGATAAATGTGGGACAAAGGGTTTGCCCTTTTGGTTTTGTTTTTTTTTTTTCAACACAGTAGATGATTCATATTTATAAAAATAAAACCAGAACAATTCAGATGTCATTTCACTCATCCAGGCTCATTTCAAAGATCCTAATTAGAGCAAATCCAATGTACATTGGCCAAGCCAGGCAGGGAAAAGTTCTTCTAATGGAATCTCACAATCACATCTGCGTTTTAGATGCATCCTTTGGACGTGCCACCACACATACATCCATGGAGGGTGGACAGCTAGCATAAAGCAGGGTCCCCATTTGCTGCTAATGAATACTGGCTCCAGCCTGCAGAATTCTGATCTGATCTCATCCCACCGTCCCCATGAGATCAGCATCTTTTATTGAGTACAATTGAGTGGTCCACATTTATAACACAAGTCTTAGAATCTCTGCTGTCTTTACGATGTGACTTTGAGATGCAGAAATAATCTAATGAACCCGGAGTTATGACTCAGACTTCTAATGAAGCCTGGAATGATAAAACCTTCAGTGCAGTGTGACTGTCAGGCTCACTATTGGTGGCAGAAGAGAAGGAACCAGCACCTTGCAAGTCCATGGACCTGGTCTGTCACTGCTCTTTGTGACCCTATTTGCGAAGCGGCTGCGAGCCCCGAGCTGCTCCCAGCTCTCACGAGCAGAGAGATGATTAAAACGCCTCTCTAAAAGCTGTCACTGTAAACAAGCGAGCTGAAGCGCGCCGTGGGGCTGGCGGGTGCGGCATTCCCCGGGAATGCGGGGATGCTCCCGCGCCGCTGGAAGCGCTCCCCGGCCGGCGCCCGCTCCTTTCCCCGCTCCATCACCTCCCTCGCCGCCGGCCAGAGAAGCGGCGCCCCGGGGCCGGGGCCAGGCCAAGGGCAGCCGAGATAATTGCTCCTGAAATACACGTGCCGACCCGCTGGACAAATAGGATTTTTTGCTAAATTAGGACAATTGCCGAGCGCGCTCCATCCCCTCGCCGGGGCTCTATACATAGATGAAAGGCACACCCAGTTGTGCAATCTGTTGCAATGGCACACCTGGTGCTGTCTGCAAGTCTATTCACAACCGTCAGCAGGTGCGACGTGGCCTTTGTGGCCATAAAAGTCTGTCTGGGCCGCCCCTGCTGCGCTGCCCGCGCCCTGGCAGCGGAGGCTGTCACAGATTAATGCGCTTGTTTGAAGCTGCTGGGAGCCACCGCCCGAAGCTTGTAGAGGCTTCAGGGGGATCAGAGAGAAGCCTGTGCACACAGGGGGGATTTGCAGCTCCTGTGCCGGGGTGGAGGTAGCAGGCTGAGCAGGGACAGGGGACGAGAGCAACCTGCTCAGATGGGAGGGGGCTGGAATCAGAGACCTTTAAGGTCAGTTCCAAGACTGGTTCTGTAATACAGCAGGTTCCCGTTTCTGCAGCCCCAGGGGTGCTGCCCAGTGGCTCTGGCATCAGGTAACAAAGATTTGCAATCGAGCCCCTGTTTGGGCTCAGCCTCTCCAAAAAAAAAGGGGTTTGCTTGCTTTGCTTTGGGATGCTACATCTCACACAGCACAGCATTAAGGTGGAGTTCTGAGACCTCAGCCCCAATCCAGACTCAACTTTCATTAAAAGAAGGATGCCATGGACCTTGAAGTAACTTTCCAGCAGGAATTTTCATTCCCACTGGGTCATGCAGGAATATCGCTTGATACAAACAAACAAAAAAAAGAGGGATGCTCATATCCCATCCTGCTGCAAAAGGTACTTCTCAATTTGTCTAATCCTTCAGAGCCACTCTCACATTTTAATTGGCAATGCATTTTTACAAGGACTTAAATGCTCTTGAGATGAATCATGAGGGAAAAGAGGAAGGATTCATAGCAGCTAAATGGCCCAGATTTGTGGCGCTTGGAGCTCTCTGGTCTGCCTCAGGACTGGCTTCAGTGCATTTCTGGTAATTGGAAATACAATCAGATCCATATTAAACTCAGCCAACCACGGGCTGTATTGCTCTGCTGCTGAAGTGCTCAATATCCTGTGCTGGCTTCAGTCTCTAATAAAACATTCAAAAGCAGTGACGCTCAGAGAAACCCCTTTTGGACCCTTGGTTATGAGGAAAATGGGCTGGGAATGGGCAATGTGGGAATGTCTGTCAACCACCATCATTAACAGTGGCCCTCGTGCCCCAGCCTCGTTAACAGGAAAATCCCTGGGCCCCTCCTGTGCCCACCTGTGCATCAGTTCTCAGGGTGTGGGTTGATGGGTAGAGCATTCAACAGTGAGAAAAGCATCATTTGATCCTTTTATGACAGCAAAATGTTGCTGTGTGTGGGAAGCCCCTGGGGTTGAAGCCACACGTGTGAGAGACTGACCCCTCCAAATGATGCCATCCCGTGCATGTCCACCATGCTGGGAACACAGCCTGGATTTAACCCTGTTTCCTGGGACTTGTGGAGAGGGGCTTGGAAAGGAAAAAAATAACAGGTCAGTTTGTTAATTTCCTGACAACAAGCCCAGAAGGACAGGTGAGAACCTGGCCCTAGGTGCCATGGAAACATCTGATGAGCCTTGCCCCAGTGCTTTGGGGTGTCTGGCACAGCACTGGCCCCACACCAGCCCTTTCCAAAGTCCCCAGCAGGTGATGCTGGGCATGGATGGTGCTGTGCTCTGTGCTGTCTGTGGCACAGCCCAGCCACCACCTCCAAAGCCACCCAGGGGCTGCAGGCAGTGCCCGGGGCCGTGAGAATCGCTGTGTTCCAGCCTGCTGGTCTCCTCCAGCTCTCCTGGGCCTGGGGATGGGGACAGGCTTTGGGTCCAGGGTCACCAATCGGGTTTCCAGTCGGGGAGATGATTGGTGAATAGAAGGTGCCTCCATCTCCTGCCCGGCGTGTGGGTCTCTGCAGAGTCCTGTCCAGTTTCGTGGGGAGGGGGTGTTGGGGAAACACTTGCTCGTGCAGCAATCGCTAAAATAACTGTTCAAGGCACAATCAGGCTCTTGAGAGTGCTAGAAACAATTTAAGAAATGTTCTTGGGACGAGCGGCGGGCGCTGTGCAAACAGCTCCGCGGGGTTTGTGCGAGGGGCCCCGCAGGAATGCGCTCGCTCCGAT